GGCTCCCCTGAGATGTCACTACAGCCGCCCTGTAACTCGGGGCCTTTGTGATGCAGTCCATGTTCTGGTTCTGTTGTCTGTGAGGTAAGATGACAAGGCTCAGCACTGGCAGGCATTAAGCACCAGAACCCTGGATGCCTAGATGGAGGGATGACTGGTCTCCTCATGGGCATGAGGCTTTGTCTATGTTGAGCCCTTCCCTTGTTCTGTGCAATATTGGATGTCCCTGATATGCTTACACATCTATCTTCAGCATTAAGCTGATCATTAAGCAAATGAAGAAGAGAGGCCACAGATCGATGTCAGAACCTACCAGGAACAGCTGCCAACAACCCCGAAGAGTCAGCCAAAGGGCTAGCAGTGCGGAAGCAAGAGCTAGGAGAACATCTCAGGAAGAAGCTGAAGGTCTTCGAGGGCAGCTCTCTGTCATGAAAAGAGAGAGCCATGTTCCTCAGGAGGGAAGTGTGCTGCAGCTCCTGTGTGCAGCCCCCCGCTGCCATGTCTACAAAGACACAGCTCTGGAGACTCAGAAATCACTGACAAGTAAGAAGAGTGCGATCATCTTCAGTTCAGCAAGGGCACCACAGTGCTTCTCCTGCTCACAGATTTTGTCTGTGTCTGGAATCTCCAACCAGAGTCAGCAACTGAGTCTAAATCGCTGCTGTGAGTGTTCACTCGCTTCTGTAACCTCTATATTATCACAATTAACAGATCCTAAATCCTTTACCCAAATGGCTGCTCCACCAACCGGTGTGGTCAGCACTCAAAATTACCAGACTGAATGCTTGTACCTAGAGCAGGGATCTCTGCTGCCAGATGTGCCCAGGGACCCAGGGACTAGGTCTTCCTCAAGGATTGAGGAGTTTGTGTTTCCTGTGAACCAGCTGGAGATGATAGATGCCAGCTATGAATTTGTCCAGAAGAACCAAGACCAGCTGCCCTGGAAGTCCCAGGTTGCTCTGTTGTCTCTGAACACAGAGCTCACTCATTTGACACACCCTATTGCTTTGCATGTGGTCACTGTCCTCTCTGCCCACTTGCCATTCCTCAGCCCTGAAGTCCTCAGGCTTCTCAAGGTCCATATGAAAAAGTGGGTGCATTTCAAGAGGTGGGGACTCCCCAGATGTGTGGACGATTCCTTGAGGCAGCTTGTGCCACAGCCCCTATTGCTTTGCCAGCCTGGAAACAGCCAACCAATTCCTTTCACCATGATCAATACTTCTGATGCCTGTGTTGAAACAACTGGGACCATTGCCCACAAGGCCTGGGCTTCATGGATGATCAGCCAGCCCACCCAGGCCTTCTGGGTCTCTGAATGGTTTATAAAGGACCCAGAACAAAGGCACCACTGCCAGAAAACTCCAAATTCTCTGGCTCTTGCTTTGCCCTCTCCAGCCCTCAAAGTCCTAAATGACCTCTATCCACCAACCGGGGGACAGACTGAAGTTTCAGGGAACCATCTGAAGCAGCAGCATAGCCAGCTCTTCTGTGGCCTCCCTTGTCCACACAGTGAGTCCCTAGTTGCCACCTTCATGGGCTCTCAAGGCCTCTCCATGGACAAGAGCATAGCCCAGCTCTGCTTGCATGTTCTTTTTCTCTTTGATGAGCCCTCCTTCCTCCCCCTGCTGCCCAATGATCCACCCCTCTCAGCTCCACCCACCCCAAACTGGATCTCCCCTCCTGACCATCAAGGAATCCAGATCAATCTCCCACTTCTGACTCTGGCCGAGTGTGAGGCCTTGGAGTGGCACCTGCTACAGAGACAGCTCCAGCTTAGGTGGGACTTGCCAGCTGTTTTCCAGAGATCTCAGCATGCCCAGAGCCCCATGCACTATGAGCCCTGTGACACAGCCCCATCTCCTGAGACCAGAGAAACTCCTTGGTCAGGGAAGCCCACCTCAGTCCTCTCATGGCAACTACTCTTCTTCCCAGACCATGTCCAGAGACTGCTGGAGTTCCACCTCCAGAAGAAGTTGATTTACCGTCACTGGGGCCTGCCCCAGAAGATTGAGCAGTCCTTCAAGTTGCTCCTGTCCCATGCTGACCAGCAGCCCCTGCCCTGGAGCAGCACAGCCTTGGACAATGTAAACATTCTCCAGTCTGCAGCCTCAGAGGCCAAGGGGATTAGTGACCTGTTCTCACCTACCTTAGCCCCAGTGTTACTCCCCATGCCACAGTTGCTTCTCCAAGCCAAAGCAATACTTCAGAGCCACATCAACTCCAAATGTTGGCAGATCTGCCAGGGCACTTTCCCAACCCATGTGTGTATCTCCAGGGACTTCAGAATTCCCGGGAACCTGGCAGTTACTCCCTTCCCCCGCATTCCAGAGCTGCAGGCAGCAACTGATCCTCACTTTGATCAGGAAGTTGTGTCCCAGAGGCCAACAGCCATTGATCAGCAGACCTCACCAGTGGCTCTCATTCATCCCAATCCCTATCTGAGGGAGACATTCAGAAACTGAAGATGACTTTACAGCACAATTACCTGGCCTTCTTGTCAGGGCTACCTGCTCTCTACTATATGGCTTTCTCTAAGGCCATGGTCCTGTCAATCACCAGCCAATCTTCTGTGAGCACCCAGGTGATGCCTGAGCCTTTCAAAATCCCAGCAGAGCCCCTGACTGAGATGATCACATATAAAGAGCAATTTACATGTCCTTGGCCAGCCTTTCAAGAGGACAAGACTTGTGCAGACAGTGTCCATGGGCTCCTGACTGATGTGCAGGAGGAAACAATGGAGACGGTACCTTTCAGAGACCAGACAGATGCTGATCTTCCTCTTGTACTCAGGAGACCTACCATGACAAAAATGAATTTCCATCTGAGGAAAAAGGTCCTAGAGATACAGTTGGGAATTCTCATACAGGCAAGGAGGTCTAGGGACCAAACTGTGGCTGTCGCTGGGAATATTTCCACACAAGAGGCATTTGGGAGTCTAACCAACCAGGGACTCGCCACCCCAGCAGACACTCCACAAACCCCAGAAGCAGAAAAGGCCCACCTTAAAGAACTCCTGATCACTGAGCTAAAGGCAGTGCTGCTGAGAAGGAAACTAGCTAAGTCCAGAGAAGTGCCCCATGCTTCTGGCCACTGTGTCTCCCAGATCTCCCAACCCAGTGTGGACAAGGCAGATGCCCAGGTGCTTTGTGATCAGGTGGAAGCCAGCATGAACATCCCCAGTCTGGAGGAGGCCTGGTGTCCTGAATCCCAAGGCTCTGGCCAAAGCAAGGACTCAGCCCAAGTGCCCACCCTGGGAGAGAAGAAAGAGGACCCAGGAAAACCCAAACCAGCAGGGAACGGCAGAGAAGGGGACACAGGGGTTGGGCTCCCCTCAACCAGAGAAAACAGACACCCTGCTGAAGACCAGAGGCCAGCAGGTTCCTGGCAAAGGAACCTTAGCTATATTCTTGCTGTCTCATGTCAGGAGAGTCCCAAGGAGATAGTCTTCCCAGAGCTACTTTCAGGAGTCCCTTGTGGAGAAGAATCTGAGAAGAATC